AAAATATCTGATAAGTATTTCATAACTGGGAAACTGAAGTTGAAGTCAAACGATAACCTCTATTAATCAGATGATGCAGAACTTAAGTTCTTAGTCTGTGTATGACCAAGTTAATATTCCCTTTTTCTCTTGTGATTCTTTTTTTCTCAGCATTTTAAGTTGGAAAATGTAGTCAAATCACTCAATCCTTTCACAGCCCAATGATAGGTTTGAAAATATAATAGGAGCAAACCAAAATTTTGTCCACAACAGAAGATTTATAGTTGTATTTGGAAGACTGCAACTCCTTGAAAGTCTAGATTTACCTTTGAAGGAGATGCATAAATCTAGGACTGAATATGAGATGGTTACCTACTTTTAATTTTTAAAACCATGATAAATGGAGCAAGTAGAAAAAGGAGAAATTACTTGCACTTGAATCATTACTATAAATTGAAAGAAATCATAAACCCAATCTAAGTGATAGCTTCTTGGAGATTGGTTCTAATATTGCATTGGAAGTGCTTCATCAAATATTATTACCTGGCCATCAGGAAATTCAGCTCTATAAACACGGCCATTTGAACCCTCACCAATAACATTGTCCTCGCTGTAATTGTTTGTTGCCTCAAGTAGTTCCAAAGCTGAGAAAAGCTTTGGAGTATCTAGATTCTTGAATGACTGTGAACGACTTTTCCTTCTAGAGTCTCTTTCAGGTTTTAGGTTATATACTGAGGGAAGACTTGTACTGGTAACGGATGTGTCAAACTTAACTTTGGACACTGCAAAAGAAGTTTATATAAGAGGAAATGACCATTAAGTAGCAATTGTAGCTTGGGTGAAAGTTGATGAGTATAGAAAATTTTGGGGCACAATGCAATTGTTTATTTGTGCACATGTGCAGGCGTTTTGCTATGGAATATGTTTGGGGCCCTTCTAAATTCTAAAAATAACTTCAACAACCCCCCTGATCATTACTTTTGGAAATAACATAATCTGAACAAAGAAAAGGGCGAGACTGTGTGTGCAACATTATACTCGTCTTCAAAAAAATTTATGAATAAATATGAAAAGTACCCCTGCAAATTTGCTGAGACATACCTTCTGAGACTGAGATTACACATAAAAGAAACCTTCAATCAAAATTTTACTTACAATTTGAAGGCACAATGATCTGATACTCTGCTGCGCTGTCATCATTTTGCAAAGTCCAAATTGTTTACTTTAGAAGTTTTAGACATTGCAAACAAAAGGACATCAAGCTATTTTGTATTGAAAAATATTCTAGCTACATGCAACAAATTGGTGCGATTGTGTGCCTAATCTGAAATCTTCCATCCATTTTCGCATAGGTGAACAAATAAGAAGAAACTGAATGAAATTTGAAGAGTATTTTTCTTATTGCATTGCCAAATACAAATATGGACGTAGATATTACAGGACAAGAGGACGGGGCATGTGACGAGGACATATACAAGGTAATGGCATAAATGATTAGAGTGACTCCTACTCTGCCCGAAGGTGTGATGAAGAACTGATAGGTTGCACAGGAAACCTACAGAGCAAAACAATTTAAGGTTCAGAGGAGTTAAAAGGCATCAATGTACGTGATCAAGTCTGTGGAGAGAATTCTGAACTTTCATAGGGCAATCAGCAGACAACTTAATAGAAAACGATAGTTCAAATTGAAGGTGAAAGCTCTCCATCTGGCTTACACCCAGGATTATCTAGATAAGAATAACCTAAATTAGATGGAAATAGGTGAGCTAGATACTTCTGACCTCTGTTCACACAGGAGAGAGTCATCCCATCGTTTGTTGGAATATTAACCTAATAAGTTTGGAGACTGTCGAAGATCAATCTAGAGCAAAGTTAAAATAGAAAGATTAAACCTAGACTGTTTTATGGATAATCAGATCAATCTTCAGATGTATCAGACTTTTTTAGCGTCACCATCTGTCAGGAAAAGGCAAATTACAAAACCTTATCAGCGTCCAAAAAATTTCTTCAGAGTGTTTCGACTTCATTCAGGAAAATATCTTGTTCTTGGCTGGAGTGGCTTAAAAAAAGTGCGAGTAATAACCATCTACTGCAAACTAAGAAATGTGGGATCATCCCATGCAACTTTCAAATTATTTTAAACTGATTCCAAATGTGGAGTAGCATCCTCTACAGATATGTATCTGAAGAAAGCTGCAAGGAACAAGTTACCTCTTGGTGCAGAAACTGGGAGAACATGGAAAGACGCATCTGAGATTTTAGGCCTTTCGAGGTTGCCTTCACATGATGCATGAATGTGAATCAACAAAGCTGCTAAGAGAACAACAGAGATGCAACCAGCTGGTATTCCCAGGCACAATCGCCAAAACAGGGAACTTGATGTAAAATTGTGTCCCTGACTGATTTTCACAACAGCTGGTGAGTGATGTGATTCTGTGCTTACATTTACAGAAGATGGAGGACCTTTAAAACCAGGCTGAAACAGGTTCCCGTCAATTCTGAACAGTTGGAGGGATATGAAAGAGTAATACCTGATGTCAGTACTGAGAACAAAAATCTAACAGAACTAGGTGCTAAATCAAATATGTTCAAATTATCATCAGGAAAACGTACCTCAAGCTCGGAATAGATTCAAATTGTTTTGGAACATAACCACTGAAGTGGTTATTCTGCAGATTCCTGTAAGCACACCTCCCAATCATAAAATCAAAGACATAATTATGACATATATTCCCTAATCTAACTAAACCTTGATGGATGGAAACTTACAGTACAGTAAGTGGTAGATCTTGCAAGTAAACAACAGATCCTGTCAAATCGTTGTTCTCTAAATGGCTGCCAAGCAATGGAGATAAGGTGGTGAGACATTTAGTATGGATGTGTAGGTGATTACTACTTTTGCAAACTTACAGTGTATGAAGTTTAGCTAAAGAGCCAAAAGAGCTAGGTAGATCACCAACAAAGTGGTTGAATGATAAGTCCCTGAAATATGTACCCACTTAATGGATCACTACGAAGTTATACCATTCGGAACAAATAGCTAATGACTGAAATCACACCAGACCATGTAATAAGAAGTATTGTTAAGTAAATCAGTAATGACCCCAATACACATAGTTACAAATGTCAAAGTGGATTGAGAGCTTACAGCTGCTCTAGATCCTGCATATTAGTAAACACATTCCCCATCGGACCTGTTAAGGAATTGTAGCTAACATTCCTGCACAGGTTTGAGAAAAAAGAGGATGGCCTATTAACTTCTTCATCAACTGCATTTTTTCTAGAAGCAGAAAGTCAACTAAGAAACTCACAAGTAACTGAGAACTTTCAGAGAAGGGATCGGGTGAGGGATGCTGGAATTGAAATTATTCACAGCCAGGTCTCTGTATGTAAATAAACATTACTATTTTAGAAGCACACAAACATATACCAGTTAAATGAATGAAAGAGGAAACAAATAACGCACATGTAGGTAGCATTTGGAGGCAGACTGTGAGGAATTTCACCACCAATGCTATTATAACTCACATCCCTACCATCATAGAAGAAACCATGGACACATAACCAATTCAAAGTCAAGAATAAAAATTGACAAGTAATTTGCAAATTCTTCGAAATGAGAACCTAATACAAGAATGCGTACAGTTCTTTCAGTGACAAGAGACTGGAGATCTGTGAATCCAACGACCCATCCAGTCCTAGTCCTTTAATATTTCTTTTACCCATAGTCAAAATAATAAGCCATATCATTCCAATTTAAATGAAATTTATACTAAAAGAAAGCAAGAAGGTATGTTAAAAATAGACGCAAGACGATAAATTACATGGAAACTACAGAATGATGAGAGCATAAAACCCCTGTCCATGGATAATTGCCGCAGGGATCGCCACCTCTTGATTTCCACCCAATCAGCTGAGTTGGGCTGTTGAGGGATTTATACAATGCTTCAAGAGCTGACACTGATGAAATCAACAGAAGACAAAAGAGAAGTTATTAAAAAAAAACCTAGTTCTTTTAGACCCTATAAACACTAAGCCATAATCTTAATTTTCAGCCTAAACCCTAAACCCTAATCCTCAACTAAACCCTAAACCTTAAAGCCCTCAACAAAAATCTTAGCAACTCCACTCTTGAAATTGTTCTCAAAATTTTATCAGTTCTTTCTTCAACTAATTTATATACATTTAATGATACTTTGATCTTGGATTAAATTTTACCACAACTAAACTAAAATTAATGAGCAAAATACTTGAATTTGGAATTAGAAGCTTACGATCCATAGGATCAGTCACTGAGAACGCCAACAATGAGTTCCCGAAGAAGAGAAGAAGCGTGAGCAGAAGAATCTGATCAAATCTCACCATCATTTCCAATTTCCTAAAAAGATGAAAAAGTTTCTTCAATTCCTAGAAAAGATGAAATTAGAATCAAGAAGTCGAGGTTATTTCCTCAAAAAAATCTGAGAAAGAGAAACAAAATGTAGAAAAATAAGAAAGATAGAGATCAAGAACTCGGAAATCGTAAAGGTCTAAAAAAAAGTAAAACCCTAAAAAAGGTTTTTTTTCCCTTTACAAAATCCGGCAAAATGCGAAAATAAAACGAAATAAAAAAAGAAAAATAAAAAAGATTTGGATCAAGAACTCGGAAAATTGTGAAAAAGCGACAAGAAAATGCCTTGAAAATCCCGAAAATTCGAGGAAAGGAAACAAAAAGAAGAAGAAATAAGAAATACTGGTAAAAGAACTTCAAACTTGTAAAGCGAGGGGGAAATACCTATATAAAAAAAGAAATCGACAAAGAAATTAGGAACCTAGGATCAAAAATTGAAAATCCTGAGGAGCAGGAGGAAAAATTACCTACGGCGTCAACAGAGCGAAGAAAAGAAAATTTCGTGAATTTCTTGAAGAGTGTCTTCGCTTATTTTATTCGTTTAGAATGGTGAAGTGGGCGGGAGCGCGGAGGTCCGAGGAGGAAGAACGGGTGACTGCCAGCTCAGCATTCAGCTACGATACGATAGTCAGCTCCCTGCTGGAAATAAAATGCCGCAATTTCATAATAAGGGGTCAAAATATGAGTAATTTCGTGGCCTTTTTACATATCGAATCCTTGCGTCCTTCATATTTTATAGTCAGTCCCTCGAATCATACGAATTGCTAGTTAGTACCCCAAATTATCCTTCTTATCCCTCAATTGTACCCATGAATAACCTGGACATTGTCGTAGTTTGATTCTCAACCTTCTCGTCGGGGAGGTTACCTTTATCATGAGGCAATTCAGTTGAATGCTGCGATGGTTGCCATATTTAAACAACGACCGGGGATCACGTACATCATATTAGAACATAGTCGCTAATTTCGTTTATAGAGGATGTTGTATTATTTAAAATTATTACAAGTTGTTTTTAGTGAATTCTCAGGCTTTCATCTGGTTAAAGTTTGTTTAAATGCGGTCATGAAATAATTGCTTTCAAACAAATTGTTTTGACGAATTTATCTCCCATAGTTTTTCTTATTTCCTAATAATTTGAACATATGCATTTCCTTTATTATTTTTTTTTTCCCCTCTTTTTTGCATTCATGGTTTTTGTTGCCTAAATTTAATTCGTTCTACCACGAGATATACGAAAAAACGGATGATCTTAAGCTACATTTTAGCATCACATTTACAAGTACTGCAGAGACGCACACATTCACAGAATCAAAGCGCACAGCGCAGCAGGAGATCAACACATACCGAAGGCCACATTCACTGGCAGGCATTTGGAACCTTTTAGTTTCTATTTTGGGTTGATCAACAATAGATAGCTTTCGAGTGCCGACAAAGTTTAGCCACCGATGAAGTTTTGAGTTTCGACTTTCTAATGGTTGATAACAGACACTTGATGGAAACAAAAAGAACGATGACACGGTATACGACAGCCAAAGCACACAAAGCAGCAGCAAGGTAGGGGGGAGACCTACCTCATCTCTTTTTTTAAAGTTAAATGCTTATGCAAAATCGAAACTCCAGAGACAGGGAGACGAATTATTTACAAAATTGAAAACTTGTCTTAGCCTCTGAGTATCAGATGACGCATCTTAGGCATAACGAATTTCTATTTCAAAGTATATGAAGGATAAGGAAGGAAAATAACCAATTAGCCCTACTAGGACAGCAAAGCAAACTAGTTAATAATCAATACCTGAATGGATAACAGGATGATGTCAGCGAAACGAGAGACTATTTTGGAGGGAAATTGAGGTGCCTCTATATTGCTGGATCGACCATCCCTTCTAAAGAGCTGGAGTCATGGAGACGAGAAAAAGCCCACTCGACCGACCAACAGTTGCTTCTCTTCTATCTTTGAACTGATAATATGACAGGAACTGCAGTATCTTTTTCTCTTCTTTTTCTTTTTAATATTGAGAGTTAAGATTCTGCGCGAAGTGCGATAACTGACCTGTCAAATACCCTTCATCCAGCTAATAGCTCCAACAAAACTACCTCATAGCCGTTAAAGTGTCACACTTGGTCATGTCAACACTGAGCTCAAGGGCAGCAGGCCCATTTGAACGAATAGGTTCCTCTCCAGTCTCCAACCTGCTTTCCAGGTGAAAGAAACTTCACCATTAAATACAAAGCATAAAGTTTTAGTTGTCTCAGTTGCATCAAATATTAGGTTTTGCCCATATCTCATATTTCAGGATGAATTTCGAATTTAGTTTCTTAAACAGGTTGAGTATGTTGGGGAGAAACCCCTATGCCGAGATCCAACCAAATAGCCGAGAGAGATAAACTACACAACCAAAAGATAGCACAAACACAATAACACCAGTTTTAACGTGGTTCGGCGAGATACCTACGTCCACGGGGCAAGGAAGGGGGAGTTTTCACTAATATAAATCAAATGGATACAACTAGGGTTACAAATCTCACAAAAAACCCTCCCAAATCACTCTTGATCTCTCCCAAATGCTCCAACAATAGAAGCCCAAGAAATCCCCCACAATGGCTGCTGAAACCCTCTTGTCTTAACCCTAGAACCGTGACTTTGGGTATTTATAGAAAACCCAAACAAAACGGGTCTGCAAACAGAACCAGGCCAAACCCGCTGCGGCGGTCGACCGCGATGGATCGCGATCGACCCCCACGGTCGATCGCCACGAAAACAAACACTTCTGCGGTCGACCACCAATGGTCCAGACGCACAGTGAACCCTGTGCACGAACGCGGTCGATCGCCAGAATCCTGCGGTCGACCGCCAGCCTGCCAAACAGCTATTCTAAGCCATCAACTGCCAATCCTACAAATCTCCACCTCGGCGAAGATTCTACCAAACTGAGTCGATACCAACCAAACCAATTGTCTCACTTGTTGCATCCAGTACGCCATGACAACAGACTCATGATAACGGACCCCATCCACAACATGTCGAGACCCAAACGGGAGAGCGAACACTCACCCCAAACCAAAAGTGTCTACTCACCAAATCAGCTGCATCAAACTGACTGCCTACGTATCCTCTCCAAGGAATCAAGCCTTCACGTAGTTCACCCAATGGCCTCCAAAGGCCCTCAATCCAAAAGAAGAGTCCTCAACTCTTCACTGATACCAACATCCAATGTGCGGCTAACAGCATCACCAACGGTCCTATACTGAAACGATTCAAACACCTCCACCTGAGGTGAACCAATGGTCGTATCCAATCTATATCCACCAGCTGCACACGGATCAAACAACTCGTCATCTGCATCCTGAACAATCTGATCCCCAAACTGTGCCACCCCAGCCGGAATCCCAACTAATACAAAATGACCAGGAGTATGTGGAATAAGCTCCACCCGATGTGGAGTAGCATCAACCTCCACCCGCTGCGATATCTCACTGATCTGATTAGTACTCTCTACCTGCCGAGAGTCCAAGGTGACATACCTGCTCAGACCAAACTCAGAAGCCCTCAACTGATAGCCAAAAGAGCATCTGAATCCCAAATGCGCAATCGGATCCAATCTCACATCCACGATGTGGCCATGTGCTGGGTAGCCCAATATCCGACGCCAACCAAAATCTGAAGCAGCTTCATCAGATCCAACAATATCTAACGTAGCAGTCGACAACCTCATAAGATGGCCCAAACTTGTCGGAGCCTGAATACCAGATCCACTGCTAGACAACCAACGCCGATTCTCCTCCAGAAAAGAACGGTCCACTAAATCCGCCATCTCATCTCGTCGCCCTACTGTCTCCTCTCCTCTGAAGTGTCTCCAACTGCTATGAGCTTGGCACCAATGCAAGCAAGAACCCCTACTAGAACTAGTACGACGGGTAACCTCTCTGCCCATACACCTCCTCCAACTGTTGCGGATTGATAGGGCTTCATACCAAAGGGACTTGGTTGCAACCCATATATGCCTAGTATAATCCCCAACATAGGAAACAAAATACCGATTTTCTCCCAATGATGCCTCCATGGAAGGCCCCTCAATGCCTGACTAAACACCTCCAATAAGACCCTTGATCGGTGAATAGAAGTGACTAACTTCACCTCGGTCTTCTTGCTCATCCCACTGTGCTCAAAGGACTTCAATCTACAAGTCATAGCACTCTTCATCAATCTATGCATGGTATAACCAATAATATACCCTAGTACCAAACAATGCCACAATCTAGCCAAAGAAGTCGTCAGCGCTCTATCAATCACCACGCTCCCAAGCAGATAATACAAGTTACTCCTCCTGACGCCCTTCATCATAATCATGGACCCCAATGTGACCTTCAAGTGAGAATCCGCCAAGGTCACACTATAGCCTGCTGCCTCCAATAACCCAAGTAAAATGATATTCTTTCTTAGTTGAGGAACGAACCTTACATCAACCAACTCCCGAATCATCCCGTCACTCATCCGAATCCGAACGATACCAATACCACCAATAGGGCACATGTGATCATTACCCATAAGTACAACATTTCCTCTTTCCAACTCCTGAAAACTAGAGAACCAATCCCTTCTAGGACATATGTGGTAAGTAGAACCCGAATCCAACATCCACTCGGTGGAGTCGGCCACACCAACTGACGGAAGAGCTGTGCACGAATAGCCCGAAGAATCAGAATCTGAAACGTCACCACTAGCCTTGGCAACATTTAACTCTGAAGCTTGAACAACTTTCCCCTTATTCTTCCCATCTTGCAATTTTGGGTATTCGGCTTTCTAATGTCCATCCTCTCTACAAAAGGCACACTGATTCCTACTAACTGCAGGATGCCCCCCTCTAGACTGTGACCTCCTACCATGGTTTGGACTTCTAGCTCTTGCAACCAATGCCCCCGCAACCGGCTCAATGAAAGTCTCCTTATCATTCTTTCGAAGTTGATAATTCACAAGAGCCGTGGTGACCTCACTATACGAAAGAGATGCCTTCCCATTAATAAGAATGAGGACGAATGTCTCATATTCCTCATCGGGCAAGGAACTCAATAACAACAATGCATTGTCCTCATCTTCAACTATAACATCTACATTCGCCAAATCTGCAAGTAGCTTTGTGTAGTGGTTCATGTGATCACTCATGGATGTCCCCTTCTTCAATTGGAAGCGATAAAGCCTCCTCTTCAAATGCAAACGATTTTCAACGCTCTTCGTCAAATACTTGCCCTCTAGGACCTCCCAAATCTTCTTTGCCGAAGTCTCATTCATCACATCATATTTTAAATCTTGCGTAAGACAAGACCTAATCACATCACACGCCGTTCTATTCATTTTCTTTCAAACCTTCTCATCAATGTCGTCCGGTTTCCCGTCCAACTCCAACGTATCTTTCAAATTTTGCGCATTTAGCGCATCCAAGACTTCGCATCTCCAAAGTCCAAAATTATTTGTGCCATCGAACTTCTCCACATCTATCTTCATAGAATGGATATTCAAACTTTGGACGGTCTTCAAACTAGAAGAACCCTCTCCACTTTTATCTTTTCCGGCCATATATCTCAAAGCACCCAATAACAATTGCGGAACAAACAAGAAATAGATCCAAAATTGACCAAAGATAGAATTTTTACCACAAAGATTCCACCTTTATCACCAACCGAAGCTCTAG